ATACATAACCAATTTGAGGGAAAAATACATGAGGAATATATTCAGCTAATAATGCACCCTACTATCTATAATTTGTAGTAGGATCTCACCTAACAAAATATCTGCAGTTAACCCCAAAACACCAATTTTGAAACAGTTTTCAGATAAAAGTAAACTTTCCTAATATCTAACGTAAGTTTGAAAAAGTAAACCACATGTCATATTCAAATCCAGTACTTGAAATCATTCAAGGACCACGAGAGAGCTGGATAAGCCTTCATGCCTGTAATCAGTCTGTTTCAGAAACCGTATCGTAGATAACGGCAGGAAATCTCCAAAATGTTGGAGACTGATCCCATGCTCATCGAGGTGACCACACATGAAAACTTAATGCCATTCAGTCACAAATAAAAGATTCAAATCTTGTAGTTTAAAATATTTTACTTGACCCACTACTAGAACTTGCCGACATTCTGGTGATTAAGACGAACAACCTTCGCGAGTTAATGAATTACAATCAAATATTAATCAGATGCTGACACAGTCATGGAGGCTTAAACCCAACTAGAGTCAGACTTACAGAATTCTAAGTCACGGTAAACAAACGATGAGGCACAGATGAGCGAGCAGGCAGAATATAGGGCACATCCATACTGGCAAATACAGTTCTGGCTTGTCTTTGATGAAAATAAACACAAAGAGTAGTGCTTCACACACACACACACACACGTGTTCTGTCAATAGGTGTTGCAGACTGCATACAAAAATGTGTGTAATGCCAAAATGAAAGTATTTCTTAACCGCCACATCAGATCTTCCTTCAAGTAACAAGGAAAACTTCAAAGGCTGACAATATAATATTAAAATGTGTGTAAACTGTACTTTTCATTAAAAGAATATCAGAAAAATAGGTGTGACCAATATGCGGGTTTGACAACTCTCATTCATGAAACACCACGTGGCATGTGTTTTCAGTGCTCCTAACATTTATATCAGCAGTTAATATGTTGACGCCACAAACCCTTCTGCATGGGTGGATTTAAATATCAGGTCCCAATCTGATGCAGGGGAACTCTCCACTGGTATTGCATCGATTACACTAGCCCATGCCTTTAAAATCTACAAATTTCTATATAATTTACTCGATGAAAAATCAATCTGGTTAATACATACGCCAAATGAAATCCTTGACTTTCATCTCAAAGGTTATTCAAGTAGAATTCATGTAGTTCAGACTTTGTGCGAAGGCGCCGTGAAGCAGAAGCTGTCCATACGCAATGCATTTAAAATTGAACTTTTCCATAGCATTTGATAAATGACAAATCAACAGATACAGTTGATACACATACCAAACAAAAGGCTACACTTGTCTTCAATATTATGCAAGCAGAATTCACGTAATTCAAAGACTTTTGTCAAGACGGAAGCACAAAACTGAAGTCATCAACGGCAGTGAATGTCGGTGATGTAAACTGTATTGCACAGTCTAACAAAATAAATTAATCTTATAAAGAAATAATTTCAAGACAGATTTCTTAAAATACAAAAATGTCACCAATGAAACAAAATTACTTGCAAAACCATATACGTGATAGTATTTTAGAACCACACAACTAATTAACCATCACATATGTCTACACAATGAAATCTATATATAAGCTTATCATAAAATCAAGAATTTCAAATGAAAAATACTGTGAACTGACACGTAGTTATGACAAAAAAGACATTTCTGGAAAACAAATGGCATCTCAAGCTTGAAAGCCACGAATGATTATTCTAATTGAAAAACTTGTTTTAATGTGGACAAATAGTAAGATGAAAAATGCAAATACTTTAATGTAAAAATAACTCCCCGGTAACAGAAAACGCAGTTTCAACACCGAGAACACCAAAGCCTGCCACCGGCCACGATCCTGAGCCAACTCCATCCTCACAGCCCACCTCCCTAAGATCCATCTAGAAGTTATCCTCCCATCCCCTTCTTGGTCTGCCCAGCAGTCTTTTCCAGAAGAATTCCCTACCAAAATCCTGTATGCACCCCTTGCATCACCCCATAGGTGCTACTGTCCAGCCCATCGGAGCCTCCTAGATTTCACTATGCTAGTTGACCTGCACAATTCACGCAGCTCCTCGTTAAGTAATCTTCTAAATTACCCACTTATTCGATCCTTCCTCAATCCAAATATCTTCCTGTGCACCGTGATTTGAAATACTCGTAATCTATGTTCTTCCTTCAAAGTAAGAGACCATGTTTCACAACCATACAAGACAATGGCAAAATTTTTGTTTTATATATCCTGATCTTCAGTGTTTTGGATAGTAAACAAGATGATAATTTTTGAATTAACATGGTTTATGTAAAAATAAAAGTAGTATATATTTATCATGCAACCAAGGAAAAACCTACACATGATGGCAATCTATGTATAAACAGGTTATCAGTAGCCATTATGTTAAGAGGTTTCTTTGTAGTTTTCAATATTAGTTGTAGTGGCAAGAATAAAATTCAGAACCTCATAAATACTGATCTTTTATGTTAAGACCCAACCACGTTACCACTTTCCCTCAACACTATCCCTTCCATATGGACGTATTTACGTCAAAAAAAAAAAATGCATAACAGATGTTATTCTCAAGCCTATAAATAAAAATAGCAAGAAATTTCAAACAATTAAATTGTAAATTAAGAAGACAAATGACACACCAAAACATATCAATTCTTCCCCTGGCACTGTACCCTTCCAACACATTTTGAAAACATCTGGGAGGAGCAAGATAAAGATAAATTTGTCCCTGCAAATAATTAAGCACGAAGCCGTGTGGATGTACGAGAGAGATGAGCTATAGCTCCACACGTTAACCCAACATACCCCATCACAGCTTCTGTTCAAAGCAATCTGGCTACCTCTGTATCTATTAAACGTACAGAAAGAAACTTCCAGGAATCCCCTACACAATTTAGGCCTATACTACTACCAGGCTAAAATTACGCAAAAGTACACAACTGTCAAATAAAATCCACGTCTATTTCCCAATACCCACATACATTTCAAACACTATACTTGCAGACGAAATTAAGCCATTATGACATGGTTTTCAGACACTCTATAAGACACTAATAAAAAACTAAGAAATGTGTTTTAAGCAATAATAATGAAATGCCAAGCCCCCTTGCTACGGAATGTCCCTTGAAGCACTGATTGAAACATAATGTAATCTAGACATGCCACAGAAATGATCAGATTAACGTAGCGCTGGCAAAGAGCAACAATACTGCCATCTACTGATGCTCTGGCAGCTGGTCTGATGTGCAGTCCACAAACATTTGAAGGTCCAACTACAGAATGTTTTCATCACAGACTACTGTTCAAGACTCAGCTTTGCGACTGTAAGGAATGCGAGCAAGACGCACATCCCCAGATTCTACTTTCACAAAGCTGAGACGGTACTCAAGATTTCTGAAAGTTACTGATCCGGTGTCAATCTCTCCTTATTACTTTCTGGACAATTCTAGAATATGCAGCAGCTGGCATCTTCGTTCAATACTGTCCTGAACTTCGATATTAATTGTTATGAACGTATGTTACCATTTTAATGCTTCATAACCTACCAGATTAAAAAAATGCTGATCTCAAATAAAGTTCTTTGAATACTGAAGTTAGAAGAAAAAAAATGTAAAATGTTTATTATAATTATACTTGTAAATCATTTTCATACATAAAAGTCTCTCTTGATTTCTAAAGCCATAAAAGGGACTGCTTCTTAAGGACCCTGAAAATTATAACAGAACCTCCTAAAGCATGTCAATGTTGGTAATCTGAATTATAACACTGTGTGAACTTGAGGTAACTACTAATGTTTCAGATAAACATACTGCCTCCATCTTTAAAACTTAAGTGATGTTGGAAAATGGATAATTTTCACAGCGTTACTTATGCTGGAGGAAATGGCCAACTGGTACAGAGGAATCAGACAGTCAGGGCCAATAAGAAGGCCTCGTATGGGGAGAGAGGAAGGCCGAGTCTGGACCGAGAAAAAATGGCTTTTTATAGGATCAGAAAGGAGAGTGGAATCAAGATGCAGTCAGACAATGCCAAGGGATGCAGGAATGAGAAATTCTCTGCACAACAGCCAGAGAGAACTGGAGGGAAATAAAGGCCTCGGTGTCGGGGAGCATAAAGTGGTGTTTTAAACAGATATCTATCTGTGAGTCCATGCGGCACGGCAATCCAGAAGACGTTAACATCTTCGCCACTGTGAGAACCTGACATCCTAAAGCATGGTTATGTAATTTCAGAAATATTTACGTTCATTTAACTATTCTTAGAAATTTAGTACTCAAGGTGGAAAAGAACAAGTCCCTAATGTACTTACTACTCATCTTTAAATATATTTTATGCGAGGTTCAAATACTGCTGATAAAATCACACCTACCACTCCTCATAACAGATGCAAGCACCACTGCTTCTATTGTTCGGACACAGCATGTTCCTCACATCTGCTAAGATTTAAAGTCTGACCATACCTAACTGCGTACAAAATGCAAGTCCATACCAGATTTTCCAAATTATGTACTTCCTTTACTGATGCCAACTATAAGTAGTTAATGTAGAGTACTTAACTTATCAGAGAATATTAATTTTTTCGCTGAAAACAACATACTAAATTTCTTTTGGACTGGGAATTTATAATACTTATTCCTGCGAAGTAAGCACAAAAAAGTGCATTGTTTTGAGCTCTCTACAGTTAATCTATTCACATATATATGCAAATGTTGGTATCATTCTCCTGCAGGAGTACCACCAGCTGTGACACTGTCCCTCGAGTTTGGAATATGAAGCTCAAACAGGAAGCACAGGTGGGAAATGTTGAATACAGGAATAGTCCAGACATGTCATCAATTTTTTAGTGTATTTCTTTGCAGATTGACCTTTACCATTTTTGTGTCCAATAATAAAAAATGTGCTAAAAATGTAAGGACAGTGGAACTGGGAAAATGAATTTTTCTTAGGGTTTACCTTACAGACTTTCGTGATTCAAAATATATCTTCTTTCTTCGTGAGACTACCTAGTACAGCTAGATGATAATTTCAATGCTGACTCCCAAGAACTGCTGCACGACTAAATAGAACTACACCTTCATCTCAATTACATCTGCAAGGCAAGAAAAACTAAGATAATTTAAACACTATCATTTATGTCATTTGCAGTTAAAAGTCAGAGGACTAATGCACATCATTAGAAAAGAACTTCCCCTTTTCCTCATACTTGAGCTGAGGCATCTGCGGTGCTCAACACCCTTACTGGCCAAGAAGTTAACACAGACACAATTTCACTCAACCATAATAATTCAGTCTGAGGTCTCACAAAAACACATAAAACATTAACTGCATTGGCAATGTAAGAATAGGGGAATGGGTGTCATTTAAAAACACCAGTCACACTGGGCTTCATTTCAAGGAATATTCACAGACCTCAATAATTATTATTCCAGAATATATTAAATGTTCCCAGCACTAACTGTGGATTGGGATTAAAAAGAAGTAGTGGTAAGTACAAATTACATTAACCTGAAATATTACGGCACATCGCATACAATGAACATTAACGGCATCACTAGTTAGCAACACTAGAAGTTAAAACGGCTCTTCGCTGTAGGCTACTAAATGATGGGTAAGATAAAATATGGCAAAAGTGTATGCGAAATGTTACCAATGATATTTACAATGAACAAAAGTATAAAAATTCGCTCAGTTCCCATATACACAAGTAAACACAAACCCACACATAATGAAACTGCATAGCTTCACCCATTCTAGACAAAGCATCCTTCCATTAACTTTTAGAATGGTGCATGTAAAATATAATAAAAAATTCCACTCTGCTTTATCAAAACTTACCAATAATTAAAGTACGATTTATTACAATTCACAGACTCTCTTTCATTTGATGAACATAAAGTATTCTTCCATCAAATTGCGAAATTGCGTATCGAACACCTTCCTACAACAAATGTTATAAAATGGCGAACCGGAAATGCTTAAGTCAGTAATTCTACGTGAATCAGACAAGCTTACTACGTAACTCAAAATACACGTAAAACAATACCTGGATAAAATAAATATTTGCTACGTTGTAGAGGCTTTTACTGATATTTTTGAAAAAAAGTAATAAATATACAAAACTATACACAACCAATTTAACTTTGTAAATAATAAAATGCCGGATAATTTTAACATTATGTTCGTAGTCCATCTGTAAACGAATTCCGTGTATTTGCTTGATAAGTCTTGGGCTTTGCGCAAATCGTAATTTCATGCAGCTTTACTGAGAATTTGTAATAATCCGCTCAAAATTTAGCGAATGCATCTAGACCAGGTCTGCCGAAACGTTTTTGTTGTGCGGGCAACTTCGGAAATTTTTTTATATATACGTTAACTGCGTATTTTTCTGTACATTACATGCAGTAAAGCACGGCCGGGCGCGGTGCTGACCACACACCCCATCTAGTGTCGAGGCTGAAAATGAGCAGGAGCTATACCGGCAATCCCTAAAGTACCAGCATGGCGCGTAATGGGGTGGTTTTAACTTTTATATACGGTCGGTATCAAATATTTAATTAAAATCTGTGCAGCCAACAGGGAAAAAATTATCGACAGACGAGCACTATCAACTAATTGGCGTTTAAACATTACGAAATAATATTAAAAGTTTTAAAAGTCAGTTAAAATGTGTGCACATCACTAAATTTTATTTTATGGCAAAAAATGGCAGTTTTCAATCAGTGTCCAAACATTATTTCGGGCGTGCACCGTTCTTTGTTTCACTCGCTCACCACATTGAGGCACAGGATATGAGCGGGACCAAAAACAATAAAAACAAACAAAATCACTGTTATGAGAACAGGAACAAACAAAAATTGTAATTAAGAAAATGAAGGCATAATCCTTACCTGTGTTGTTGGTATTCATGACTTCTTTTCTTTCACACACAAGGTCCACTTATTTATCCGATAAGGCATATATTAATTAATCGCTCGCTGATCATGGATGACGTATAACTGAGAATACCATTTGTTCATTGTAGTTGCCCACTTTAAAAAGTACAACTCAATGACATTTGAAATATCACAATTATAAGCCATCTAGTACCAAAAATAAAAACGCAGAAGACATGTGGAAGGCATAATTCTCAAGTGTCGTAACAACACCAACCGATGGTCTTCTTCTTTTAAAATCGACAACTTCTGTCGAAATCGCAACTCAGATTTCTCGTGTTGTAATTAAAAGATAAAACGTCGAAAGCCCAGGACAATCAATGGCGTTCCCCTCACTTACCTTGATGCTTCGCCAAGAAAAATCATCACTCCAGCAAGAAAAAGGCTTCACGATTAGCGACAATTCAAATTCAAATTAATTTCTCAAACAAAATGTAGAATTACGTCAGCAAAGTTTTCGTTCATACAAAATCTTAACTCCGACACCGATTTCGCAGATTTTACTGGCACGTGGAACCTAAAACGTAAATGTGATTGATCACCGAACTTACAAAGTTCGATCACTTTTCATCATCCGTTCAAGTACCAAGTTACTGCAGTTTAATATTCGATGTCTCTCTAACGATGAATCTTTGCTCATTTTATAACTGAATACACAATATATTAATACAGAGACAAACAATATTTAACTCTAGTATTCCTGATATATTTATAGATTCAGATACATCTTTCAGCACTGAGGCGAAAGACAGACAAAAACAAAAATGTTATAATTTATTGTTGATTGAATCTTTGTCCCTGCAATGCGAGTTATTAACAGGCAGAGCAGACAAAAGTTCTCTCTCTCTCTCTCTCTCTCTCTCCTTCTCGCATTGATTTCATTGGTCGTGCCGACTGAACCTGTCAAGTTTGGCACCCTGTGTTAAAAAATACAAAGAAACACTTAAGACTAAACCCTCCTAACTGAACGTCCATTAAGCCACTGGACACAAAAGCTAAGTTCACAACACCTAACTAAAACCTTAACGGGGAGGGCGGGAGAACACCTTTCAAACTATAAAAAAACATATAAAATGCACAGGGTTGCCAACTTGACCTTAACCTAACATGCCCTAGTCACGGCGGCTACCGCATCAAATACAGAGTTGCCTGGCACGGTGCGATGAGATTATCATGACAGCCTGGGGCCGAACTGACATGATAAGACCGTGCCGATGCTATGTCGTACCTGATTTGCTGCAAGTACCCAGCCCATCCTCCAGCGGATGGGTCCTCAACCGTTAAGAGTTCGGCCGACACTATTTATTTTGTTTTAACGTTACGTTTTGCGCGCAGCTCCTCTTGACATGGTCCGTGGTTCGAAGTCTGCAACTGCTGTTTCCACTTACACTTCGCTGCCGTTGACACAACACAACACAAAACTACACCGCAATAATTAGAGAGTAGTTGCAATCGGATACGCACGCAACAATCCGAAAGTCATTTCGTAATTTATGGAAAAGCCCAAAAATGTATATAGAAGGTTAAAATTCTCAAATTAATGTAAATGATTTAAGTTATGCCCAAATGTTATATGGAACAGAGGCCACAATCAGCTTGCGAAAAATTTTCAACGCAAAGGAAATATTACACGTTAAAATTATACACACTCCAAAAATAAAAATTTAGTTTGATTTTTGCCATAATAACCTTGCACAATATTAATTTGATTGTGCTCGAATGTTACAAAATACATAAAAAATATATTACCATAATAATACCTACTTAACACGTTAGAGGCGCTGGTTACTATTATATTATATTATGTCATCATGTAATACGGGCCCTTTAGCGATAGAACGGCACAGACTATAAATAAATTTAAAAACAATTTGACAAAGATATGATCTGAGTGACCAGCCCACTGACTGCACAATTTCTACTCAATCCCGATTTGACTGCCAGAGCCATCTAATAGAGAACCTGGAGACACAAGGGTGAGAAGAAAAATAATGTTAATAGATTTAATTTCAAAATGTTTCAAGGAATATTTATCTAAATGGAATTGCTTTTTCTAGGAATTTTCTGTTGTCTTTACTCTGACATTAATTTGGCTGTAAATGATAACGTACAACTTTACAATGGACGCACTAAATTTAAACACTATAGATCACAGACGTGAATTATGTGGGTTATGGGCCTCAGCAAAACCCAGAATGTTTAATAAAATCTGGAAAACAAGTTACCAAGAAATTTACAGGGCACGTTAATTATTATTGTATTGTGCAATTCAGAAAAGTTTTGGATATTGGTGTAAGCGCGAAAATATTACGCTCGTAAAAATCAAAATAGCTACAATGTTTCCAACAAGTTATTCATATTGTTGTATACATCTCCAACATACGAACTGCATAGTTTATAGTCTGAAATATTTTTATACGAATTTAAAATTGAGTAAACAGATTACTACGAATTTCTAGAAAAGTTGTTAATTTCAAAATTCATCGCGAAATACCGCCAAAATTTCAGCGAACTTCAGAACCGCTTCTCCGTGTTGGAATGTATATCGTAATGTAAATATCATAATTATAATGTTCTTGGCCTAAGAACATAAAATTCAAGCTGCAATTATGATTTCAAAATTTTATAAACTGTTATAAAATTATAGTTAATAATGCGTTAATGTTACAAACAACGTAACACGTAAAGTATAGGGAACTATTTTCTTCAACTACCAAACTAAAGTGAAGTACTTTGTGGGCGTTTCCGACTACACATAATTTATCTGAATTAATACGACATCATAAAAAATAGCAAGTTGTCCACTTAATACAACTTACGACATTGGACACTGTTCCTACCTTACAAACTACAGAACCAGCGCACAGGCAGGCTTACACATCGTACCCCAGCTATAAGCAACCACTCTCTGAAATAGAGCCGTGGGAAAGTGTGATGAAGGAATTCGCCCGAAAGATGGCACTGTGTCCAGTTGCAGTGCACCTGATATGCAGTGACGGCTCGTGAAGAATACTTTACTTATGGCATTCAAAGATCAAATTCAACGTAGTACATGCAGACGTACTAAACATCGGGAGTAGTCATATCCTGTAGATATTAAAATTTGATAATTATAAAATTACATTAATTATAAGATCATTATTTTTTGTTACATTTTGTCTCATTGTGAGTGAAAAGCAAAATGCTGAGGGAAGTGTTTGGACTTAGGAGAGAAAAATAAAGAAGATAATACAGAAAATTGTACAATGTATTGCATTATTGTTTGAGCTGCAGAGTTGAAACTGTTAAAGATAAAGGTTATGTTATATCGATCATTGAGTCCAAGTATGGCGATCTGGAGTCAGATAGGTCAAGGATAAAAATGAGCCTAGATGGGAAAAAATTCTGTCGACTTAAACCCACAGCAACCCTTTAACCAAGTTACGTTCAGCGCCGGAGGGACCTGTAGTCCGAACCAGGTGTTTATCTTCCGGTTGATAAGATTGAACTTAACTGTCACAACTGAAACGTAGTAAATCTGTCATAGTAGTGGGGTATGGCTTGGGGGACCACTATATCAGCGTTTACACCGACGTCTGTAATGCTTAAAGTTTTGCCTCCACGTGCTCTATACGCCTTCTTTGCCTGTTGCTTAGAAACAAAAATATTAAAAGATACACCAAAAACAATCCTGTTTTTTCAGCATAATATCTTGTAATTAAAACAGAAACTTGTTAGAACTTTCTGTCATTGATAATGGTCTTTTAAAGTAGGGAATCAGTGACAAAGGTGGGCTACTGGCCAGGCCGTCACTGCGTTCGTGTGTCTGAGTGACGTCACAGAGCAGCCCCGAAAAAGGCGAACCTCAGTGCAAACTTGCGATTACTCCACCAACGCTTTGTATCACTCCGCTGTTACCACCAGAGAAAAGGTGATTATTGCGCAATATTTCGTGTTTTTTTTCGAAAACATGTTTATTAAATAAAGAATGCACAATGTAAAATAAAGGAGTTGATATGAATATATGATATTAACTAAATTCCAAGTTGTAACTAATTAAAACTTGAGAGTTACTAAATACCATCTAACAAAATCAAAGCGGCTAGGGTTTCAATCTGAGAGTCGACAAAAAAGCACCACACCTTCATAAAATTTTATACTTATTATTCAAATTTTGTATAAATGTCTTCAGATGGCTTTGAACAATTATCGTCACTTTGCACACCCTAGGTTCTACTCCAGATCTAACGGTATGGAGCAGAGTTCTTCATAAACAAGTAGTCGCTTAGCTGGTCAAAATATTTGATTCCAGAAATTTCTGGACATGAAAGTTTTGTCGCTCTCTCTCTCGCTCTCTCTCTCTCTCTCTCTCTCTCTCTCACACACACATATTCTTTCCTCTAAATGTAATAAAGTTGGATTTGTCCCGGAGATGTAGAATTTCAGAGCCAGACTTGAAGTAATGTTCATGTCAGACAAATACTTAGGTGTCTTAGGCCGTTTAACTTAAAGTTCTAACTACGAAGGTTAATTATAAAGTTCACAAAGGCTTGCCACTTGTAGAACCGATGGTCCATGCAAAAACATAATTTGAACAGTTGTTGACACAAAAATTGAACGCTTTCATCAAACCCATTAAAGACGAGTGGAAATTATAAGTACCAGATGATTTAAAAATCAGTAACTACATTTTTGTGTTCGGTGTAATTTTCATTGTAAAGAGGGTTTGTTTCCTTTGGTTAAATAACAATAACCATATGGACTTTGTAATTGCGAAGTGCTGTGTTTTCTTTGCGGTACGGATTAAATTCTTAAAAGACGAGCTTTAGATTTAAAGAGTTAGGTCCAATTACTGTTACACGTTTTAGCTCTGACCCATCAGAACATAGAGCAAAGGAGCATTCAATTTACCAGCGAACACACCGATAGGACAGTGAAGGACGCTACTGGGATTTCATATTGTGTGGGAACGGCCAGTCACTGACGCTCGACTTGAAAACGCTGTGTGGAATGGGGAAAGAACGCTAGTGGCTCGAATGCCAGTTATACTGTTTACCCTCTTTGTACTTACACTTGGATACTCTGTATGAATATGGGACAGTGGCCTGAAATACCTTATTATAACTTTAATCACTTTTGTTTTTCTTCTTTCTTTTTCTTTTTCTCTTTCTATTACTTTTTCCTCTCACTCTTCTCTTTTCTCTCCATCCGTCATTTATACGCCTTTGGTTCATCGGTTCCCATTCAACGCTATTGAACCTGCCGGAAATGCATCGTAAAATAATAAATCAGGGGAAAAAAACAAAACAAAAACAAACCTGTCTGAATGTCTCTGTGTCAAATGCTCTGGTCATGTAACTATTAAGAAATTACGAAAGGAAACATTATGGACTGTAACAGTACGAAGTATCTGGCTAGTGTCGTATTCGCCTCGAGAGAACTACAAAACTACTATGCTCAAAATTCAAATGAATGACGACCATCATGCAGTCACTAGTTTTTTGTTGAAAGGAGAAATGAGAACAGGGTGCTGAGTGATGGACCCTTCGTCACATGTTATGAGGATGATCAAACTGAGAAGATGAGATGGGTGAGTCATGAAGAAGAAATTAAAAACCCATACAAAATTTTAGTCGGAAAATCTGACGACGAAAGAGCACTTTGAAGATGCAGCCACATGTAGATGGATACAAGAAAAGCTAGATCCTACTGAAGAAAAATGTTATGATGTTGATTAGATTCATGTGGCACGAAAAAGTGTTCAATGACATCTACGTCACATAGAGTGGTCTGCACTCTAGTGACAACAACTATAATGAGACGGTTGTAACCCGTCGTGATGCACCGCCATCAAGTATCCAAATCTGAAACTTCTTGCCGGCCGGCTCCGTTTTTCAAACGCGTGTTTTTAAATATGTTGCCGAAGTCGTGGCAAGAACTATTAGATGCTCTCACATTAGAATCTAATAGCATTGACACTTTTAACAGAATATCATCAGTTAAACTGCAGGAGGATATTATTGATATATGTATAAATGAAAAGAGATACAGGTATGTAATGCTCGTAAATGTAGGTATCTAAAATAACAATGATAAATAAATAGCACACCATAGACGCTGCCTGCAGACTATTCTGAGCCTTGCTTTGCCGAAAAACAATTCATGAACGTACCCTAACACGGACTTACAGCTGTGCATCCTTTGGGATTCGAATCCATAACCCCAATGTTCGAGCAGCTAATACTCACCCCTCGAAACACCGCGGCCACTGACTAACGTGACAACGATATGTTTATAATATATTAAAGTAGCACTATCGAGGGAAAACTTATGGATGGAAGTTACTCTTCCCTCCTCCCTGCTTCATCATTTATCAGGAGCTAACCTAACCTAATTGTAGCTGCTCCTAAAACTACTACAAAATAATGCCATATACCAAACTTAAGGGAGTCTAGCAATGTCTAGTGTGACATACTGACAAGACACAAAATTTCAATTTGAATGCTCCAGGTTCGGGATATTAATGCTACTGTCCCTGAGGGGTTATGCCAGACATAATTTTCGTTATTTTAATTTAATCATATTTTGTTATCTACAATCTGTAGTTTTGCCACACACCACATAAATGTTTTTAAAGTAAAAGAGGATGCTTTAATATGATGCTTTTCAGTTTGATGCCATAGTATGGTATTTACGCACTTATTAGTCTCGTGAACAGAATCATGATATTAGACCAAATTCTGCAACAATACATCACCCAATGAAAAGATCACCAGGGGAACAATACTATGTGTATGCTGCTGTCAAACTTACATTTCAACATATGTTTCAGGGATAAATTGTTGAACTGGATCATATTTACACAGAGTAATGCAAAATGGGTGAAGTCTGCTTCCAGGGCATCAAAGTTCCGAAGAGAGGGAAATGAAAAATTTAAAAAATGTGACAATGCAGGTAGTTTAGCGCTATACACGCAGAGTGTGGTTAATGCGCCAAGAGACAGTGAAGAGTTGTCACTTGCATTAGCCAATAGATCAGCAGCCCTGTTCCACTTGGGTGCTTATAAGGTATTATGATGATCGCCCATATTACTGTTTCTTTTTAAATACATTTTAATTACCCTGACTTGTTGTATATCTCTTATTTATCTGTCTTTGAGGTTTATTAAAGGATCAACTGCCCTGTTTGAAGTTTCTCATTTTGTTCAGTAAATGGTAATGCATTAAGCACTAAGTTTTGGTCAGCCTGAAAAAAGATGATATATTGATGAAAACATTTTAATAATTTTATGCTAAGTTTAATGCACAAATATATTTATTACCACCCCCTGTTGTAGGAATGTTTGCAAGACATTTCGCTTGCCTTACAAAGTGACTACCCAACATCACTCCATTACAAACTGCATGTCAGGCGCGGTCAATGCCTCGCTGAACTAAACAGGCCTAAGGAACAAATAGAAGCATTACAGTCTGCACAGAAATGTTTAGAACTCGTGAAGGATATGCCACTGTGCAAGAAAGGTAAGTTCCTCCATCAAAAATACTCCTAAAAGAAGAAGGGGTGGTCTTCTGTACCCACGAACCACATGCATTGAAATTGTTGCGAAGAAAGTGGATGGCCATGACATGGATAACTGCTTTCAGTTCCCAGCAGGGGCAGGGTTTTTCTTCAGGATCATGCTTAGTCCTGTCAGGCGAATGGAGGGAGAGTCCTTTTCAGAGATAAAACAGCTGCAATATGAAATTGACCACTCTTCATCAAGTGTCAAGGTTAACATTAATGAAACTTCATTTTTGCCTGCGTCATTATACTTGGGTAAAGGAATATTTACCATACCTTACTGTTGGCAGCACTTTTTCTTTTGTCACTGTTATTATTGTTATCTTTCTTTTATTATTACTGTTAATATTAAGATAAATGTCAGCAAATAAGTATTATCCGAAACAAAAATAAGAACATAAGAGCAAAAGAAACTTTGATATGTAAGGCTAGATGAAAAATCCTCTGCCCTGTCATCGGGATCAAACCCTGGTTGTCCGCTCCGTAGTCAGTCTCTATACTGATTGAGGTACTCCAGTTACCTATAATGTCACTCATAAATAATCTAGCCGCAAGAAAGACAAATTATGCAAGTCTGTATAGTCACATTATGGCAATGAAATTGTATCTTTAAATTATGATTCTGTATATATTTTCTTACAGCTTCTCTTAAAAGGGACATTGAAACAGCTTTGGCTAAAGCTTCCTCTCAGTTGAGTGTTGATAGCACACAAAACACTTTTGATGGCTCTGAACCATTTCAGATTCCTGTACCAACATATGGAGAAAATGAGAGATTTGCATACGCATCAATAGCTCTGGATCTCAGGTATCAGAAAGTGCATTTGTAGCTTTCTCTATTCTATAATGAAAGCTGAGCTTAAGATGTGACTTTTATTGGTTTTCATGCTACCCATGAGAGTTGATATCTCTTTCTGCTAGCCCTTTCAGACGCAAATAATCAGTAAGAGGTAAATTATTTTTGGAAAGTGATGGTTTCATACAGAATGAAAATATGGAGGTGATTAAAATGTATTAAGATTTTTTTCATTCTCCTTTTGTGCTTCATTATTATGGCAAAAAATACATTAAAATGTGCTGAAAATACTCAGGTATAATATGATATGAAGATAAATTAATGGGGGGTCCGTAGTGGCCGCGCGGGCCTTGTGCCGCTTGGTTGCTGGGACCGTGGGTTCGAATCCCAGTCAAGCCATGGATGTTTGTCTCTGTTGTGCTGTCCCGTGTACAGGTAGAGGCCTTGCGACGGGCCAATCCCTCGTCCAAGGAGTCCTACCGAATGTCTATAGATCATGCCAACGAAAAAAGTTGGGACCCGCAGTGCTCAGGCACTTGAAGAACGGGTTGTTCCCAGTATCCCAGATAAATTAATGTCCTGATCTGTTTCAAGTGTTTCAGGTTAGAAATGAGTAGGGCTGTTTGTAATCAAACGGTCTGGGGAACACCTAGGTTACTTGTCTAGAGTTGCTTCGTCTGGTCCTTTTGTTTAACAATGCTGACGTCAGTGATGAAAGGTCAGCATTTCTAACTAACCTGGGATTTACTTTGCTAATTTGTATTTTCAAATTAATATACAGGTACAGTGAAGGAAAAGGAAGACATGTTATAGCAAACAGAGACGTAAAGATGGGTGATATACTGTTCGTTGAGAGGCCATATGCATTTGTAGTACTACCAGCTCAATATAAAGCCCACTGCCACAACTGCTGTAGAACGTATGTTTCACCAATACCGTAAGTCTCTATAGGCATAATTTTTATATTTTGAGGGTGGTAAACCTTCATATTCCACAGTAATACAATCACCTGATTTCTTGTATAACTGAATAACTACCAACTCTTCAGAGAATACCCCATACAATAGAGTTCAGTACTTTGAAAATATCCCAGAGTTTTAAAATTGAGATGTCTACACATTGTAGTGTCAAATGAGCTACTTTAAAAAAAAGGATACAGAAAATTATAATCCCATAAGATTTCTTCAGACTGCCTGTGAATATATTAAATTTGTTTGTTGTTTTCTTACAGTTGCTGGGAGTGTACGATGGTTCTGTACTGCAGTGAGGCATGCAGACAGGAGTCCTGGGATCAATACCACCAATGGGAGTGTCATGGTGGGCTGGAACTTCTGCATTCAATTGGTATTGCTCACTTAGGTCTCCGTGTAATTCTGAAGGCTGGACCGTTACCCAAACTAAAAGGATCTTATATGAAGCTTCAGAAGAGTCTACCGCAATTAGAAGACACTTATGGAGACAAAGAGGACAACTACAGAGCTGTATATCACCTGATGCCTCATCTTGAAGATATGCAGCATCAAGATTTGTTTCAGTATGCCATGGTACAGCTGCTACAAATTCTGTGCAACTCTCTCCTACAAATAAATGTTGATCTTGTGTACTCAAAAAGAAAACTAATTCTTTCAGCCTAAAAAAATTATATATTTCCTTTCTGCGAGAGTGTAACACATAATTTACTTATGAGATGGACAACTGGGTTTCAGTTCCCACCAGGGGCAGGGATTTATTCTTTACCGTCATGCTTGGGGAACCAGTAAATACATTACCAGAAAATAATGCTACAAATATGAAGTCATTTGGCTTTTCTCTGCAGTCTATTGTGATGTACTGTCAAAGTGCTAACGTACGTTTCTCACGCGACTGCAGTTGTTTTTGTGTTTCAGACTGCCTGTATGCTGACCCTATACCTCAGTCAGTGCACAGACTATTTCAAGGAGGAAGCAAATTCTCTCTCTCCTGCTGACCTACTACAGGATAGAAAATCTGTTCTCTGCCTTGTGGGAGGCGTGATATTACGACACATTGCACAGCTTGTGTGTAATGGCCATGCAATCACCAAGCTTGACATATCACAGCCTGAAAATGAAAATCAAGAAGTTCTGATGGAGCGTCAGGTTCGAATTGCAACTGCCATCTATCCTTCGGCAAGCATGATGAACCATTCCTGTGACCCTAATATCATTAACAGGTAATAAATTGGCTTTCCAGGCTATCTCTGTATCATGAAGCACATAAGACAATACTGTTTAAAATATTAGCTATCCTGACTCACATTAACTGTGATTATTCTCAGCCTCTAAATAAATTCTATTATTATCTGCTCCTAAAACTTTTTATGATTATCAGTTATGATCCATCATCGTATAACCCAAGAACAAATCTTTGCCATCATCATTTTGTTAAGTACTTATACACAAGGATCCTGGGAAACACAACTCCGAATGAAAATATACAAAATACAGTTTCTCTTAAGAAATAACTAAATTACATATGTTACATTCTGGCAATCAAATATTTAATATCTGAACATATAACAAAATCCAAGCAATAAAATCTATTAATAAATGTTAAGGAGAAATTATACAGGCTAATTATAAATTAATTTAAAAAATAAAAGTTGCCTATAACAATGAAAGTTTTAGGGATATAAAGAACACAAAAAAATTTTATTGGAACTTTCAAGGTTTTGAATATAAGAACCCTCTGTCACCATGTACATGTTACAGCCATAATAAATCTTGACCCAAACACTGCAACATTTGAACACTGATTTACTTTTTTCAAATTCTGACTCTGATTTTGTCAAGATTTTGAAATAATGGTGTGGTGTTGACCGACTCCTAAACACACACCTCTTCTTTAAATTAAGAATAATGAGTTCCTAGAATATTTAAATGACATGCACTCTGTTTCAGCTTCTACAATCAGTATCTTATTGTCCGGGCATGTAAGGACATACACGAGGGAGAAGAAGTATTCAACTGTTATGGTAAGGATCCAGGTCACATATACTTATTGCTAATTAAGAATAATGTATGTATCCTGTACCTAACCTAATATTCTAACGCAATTAGTCAGAACCACTTTTCTTTCCCCAGGCCCTCACTTCAGACACATGAGTTCACCAGAGAGAAAGGACATACTAAGGAGCCAATATTTCTTTTACTGTAACTGCAGACCCTGTTCTTTGTCAGGACAAGAGGACTTTCATGTAAGTCATCATGAAATAGTTTCAAGCTACTAAGCAACTTCGCCATTCTACAGAGGTCAGACACATGTCCTTCCAGTGTAACAGTAGTTGCCCTTTTGAGGAACACTAATTACCAAGAATGCAAGAAGCCAAAGTTTGGTGAAGCTGTTGGCTCAGAACATTTCTCCTTATTCCTCGACTCTGACTGGCTCTCCCCCTACCAATCCCTTCCTCTAACCCTATATAAATCCCTCCACTTCAGCCCTGAAGATGGAGATAGCACCTATAAAATATCAGTATCTACCTACGAGTCTGCACAATATGAAGATTCAGAAGAACATTGTCGAAACTTGTAATTTCTATTTTGTTACTACAGGAACGGTTTTCAGCACTTCTTTGTTTGGAATGCAGTGGTCCTTTGCTGCAAAGCAGTGACTCAGCTCACCACATGACATGCAGCGACTGTGGTCACAGACAGAGCTTTAGCAGTCTGGCAGGGGCTACATTCAAAGCACACGCTTTGTTTAACGAAGGTCTGTATTAAATTCAGAACATTAGCTGTGCGTTTCCTTCCACGTTTAACCCTTTCCTGTCAGAATTTTTTTTTGTAACAAGGATGTCTATGGCATTTAAATACCTCTGAAGTACAGAATCACCATAATATATAACATTGTTTTTCAAGGAGTCCGAATTGTTTCTACCAGACATTGAATTCAGTAATTCACTGCCAGTTTACAGCATCCATCAGCGATGTCCAATCCTGTGCCAACACGCACCAAAATTTAATTTAAACATGTCGGGATAATTTCAAATTAAACATGTTGACGGACGGAACTGAACATCAGATTACTGCCGAGTTGTGTTTAATTTTTCCTCTATTCTTGCTTCAAGGCTCCATGGCCCTTGACATGGGGGACATGAAAGAGGCAGTGAAGAAGTTCGAGGCCTGCTGGAACCTGAGGCAGCGTTGTCTGTACAGAAGCCACAAGGACCTCAGTGCATGTGGGGATCAAGTAGCCAAGTGTTATTCCATGCTAGGTAAAAACCACCTATCTGAATTATTCCCAGAAATCATCATCCATTAACATTTCTGCCAGAATGAGTAACTTCTCCATAAGCATGCTTCTCATATTTGTTTTCGCTGTTCTACTACTCTCGAGTATCTTCGTCATGTTCTTCCAAGTGCTCAGTTACTCAGTGTTTTTATTTCTGAAGCTTTCGGTGGAATCCAGTTTTTCAATGTTTCTTTCTCTTGACCATTTCTTGTAATGGTTCTATTGTAATATTTCAGATACTGTCCTTTCTTCTTCATTTCTTAATACATCACAGAAACTTTGTCTCGCTCGCTTGTAAGCAAGAATTTCTCTTAAATTTATTCCTAAACCATTACACCAGTTTAATACGAGTCAACACAGCTGCCACTTTCTACGGATTTTCCACCCTAAATTTCTGTACAAATTTCTATACCTTATCTGAAATAATTTTTTAAGCACTTCATTCGTAAGTTTGTTTCCTGCTGCTGTGACCATTAGACCATACTAAAATGGACACGTCTCCCCAAACTTTTTCACAAACTACACAGTGTACAGCCGAAGTTGTTCATTTAAATGCCCTCGAAGCCGATCACACACTTTTTTCATACTTGTTCTTCCTTCCATGCCATGTTGGAAGTTTTATAAACTTTGGGTGGTGTATTTAATGGTTTTAGCAACTGGAAATCTGTTTGACAGGTGACTATGGCAGAAGTGTCGAGTGTCTGCTACGGTGCCTACCCGCGGTGGAGGAACAGTTTGGCTGCAACAGCATCGAGGTGGCCAATGAGCTACAGAAAATTTCAGATGTGATGATGTGTGACGTATCACAACACGGCCAAGGTTCTGCAGCTTACTTGTAAGTGATGGAGTGGAATAGAACACAACGGAGTAGATGGGTCCGGACACCAACGTCCCTTGCGCCATGACCAACAATACATTAATTTAAGGCACACAGGAGCCATGTGCATTAAGTGTTCATTTATGAAAACATAATTGAAGGTCGGAAGAAGTGATGTGGGAACAAAAAAGGTATATACATCATTTGCTACCAAATTTCAATCTGTAGAAGAACACGAAAATTACCCCTGGAAGGCAAAATGGGTAACACAGACAAGTTGTCAAGATTTCCTAAATTTTGGTGCTGAAAAATATGTGAAATACACGTTGGAAAGTATCTTCAGTAAGATGTAAATTTGTATACATTCCTGGTAATCCAGAAAAATGAAACAATTTATCTTGTACTTCTGCGTGCTCAATATAAATGCTATTGGACAGTTTATCCCAAAACTTTATACTCATATTTTGACCAGGGTTTATGCATATTGTGTACAGCATACTGTTTGATAAACTGATCTTTCAGTCACATTCACTCACAAGGTAAAAATCTATTTTTAGAAAACAAGTAACATTTTTCACTCACTCCCACATCATTCAATACATAAAACAGCGAGACAAACACATTGTGCGAGTGTGTTATACTCAACGATCAGTTTGGAGGTGACAACACTGCAGTGTTACAGATAACAGCTAAAACAGAAACACTGGTACAATCTGCAAGTTCAAAACATTAAGTAACTTAATAATTAATTTTAAGACAATAGTTGGTCAATTAAACAGTGGCGCCTTAATATTTTTAATTTATATTCCGATTACTGATATTTAACATGCATGATAAAGGTTTCATTTTGAAGTGAAACAGATACATATATTTAATGGATTTATAATGAAATTTTATTTTCTTGCTGTTTATTTCCCTTGTAAAATAAATTTGATTCACTAAATGTCTTAAAATTTAAATTACATAAATTTGTTATACACGGCGAGTGATTTGGTTTTCACACCTTTTCATAAATTAATGATGAAATAATTTGCAAAAAAAATAAATACAAGATATGTACTTCTTTCACAGAGAAAAGCACAAGAAGGCAACAGAGTTTGTGCAGAGAGCTAAACAAATTTTGGAACTGCACTATGGGCTCTGGAACACTGGGCTTCAAGACATCCTTGACAAGGAACAACAATTGAAACAAATGAAAATGTAAAATCGCAGGCTCATACATATTGTACATGTCAAGTGTAATAAAAAAATCTGTGGATATGCAGACAAGTTTTACCTTCAAGTAATGACATTCCCATCAATCAATTTTTCCTGTTCTGTTCAGCACCACTCGTGAACGAACAGCCGGGAGGGGCATTCAAGTTCTCTCAGAATAATGCGGTAGGTAGGAGTAGCAGCAGTGCGGTACGATACACCAATGTAAAGTTACGCAGCATTAAATGCAGATGAATCCTAGTGTGCATACCTATATTTAACGCTGCGTAACTTTATACCGGTGTATCATACTGTACTGCAACCACATACTGTGCTGGTTTGAGAACCTTTAAAAACAAAAATCACGCAAAGAAACAAACATCTGAAATGTGTATCTTATAAGGAAGTCCTGAAAACAGCTCAGAATTAAACTATGACCTACGGGTTGGATATGGCCCATGGAAGAAAATTTGGTCCTGCCTGCGACAAACAGAGTTTTTATCAATTATTACTCTCTCATACACAGTAAAGAGAGTTCATGAAACTTAAAATTTTTATGGAAATGCAATTTTTAGCATCCTGGCACACATATTTATTACTGTAATTTATTATACCTACAACTGGATATTGGAATGTCCTTACCATCCTTTATTCAGACAAATTTGATGCTTAAATATCCACTTATTTTAAATATAATTAGCTCCAGAAAACTTACACTTCTGGACATAATTTGCATATGTATAATAATGTACATATTACTTAATGTAAACATTTGGTTGATCATGAAAATTAGAGACAAAGCGCATTAAAATATTACATTTTTAAGCAACCCCTATACGATCAATATTATTGTGCAATATTCAGTTTTGTACAATAATATTGATCGTCTATGTTACGAATTGAAAGGTTGTGCAATATATTGTGTCAATCAAAAATGGTTTGATATTTATTGCAC